GTGTCCCTGACTAGGAGGTTAATGATTGAAATCTATGACTTAGGGCTTCCATTTTAGACCACATGCTTAATTTCTATTTGCAATCCAGAATTTACTATCTCAGTTTTGATCTGCTCAACTGATAGCAACCCCTTCCTCCAGTCCTAATTTAAGAGCCCCAAACCAATCAGACTGATTGATAACATTATTCTTTCAAAGCGCACTTTTCCTGAAAGCAGACGGTGTGCGCCACTGAATTGGACGCACATGCTCACAACCTTGGAGCCTGGAGGACACTGGGGTAAGGCAAATGAGCTCTAACCAGCTGGGTTGGGTTATTCCCTGTCTAATCTAGCACCTCAAGAGACACTCCTAGCTGTCCAGAGGCTAATATACCCTACAGGGTGTCATAAAAGGAAGTGCGAAATATGACCTCAGGAATCTGTTATTCTTCACGTAGACCAAGCACTAGAAAAGATGTTTTTTTCACTATGTGAAAAGCAAGTCTCCTGTTGCTGACAAACCTATGTGAAAATCTGTACTTGTAATAATTTCTGTCAGGGATATAAATTACCAAGAATGGAGTTCTAAAATTTTGTGTTGATGGGAGTAACATTACTATTTGGGGAAGTGAAGAGTTTATTTGCTGTTACAACTAACTTATGGAAAAAACTTTAAAAAATAAAGCTATTTTAATGGCACTGATTGAAATCCATGTTTGTATTTATGTAAACAATAGTCTCTTCCTCTTAACTTTGCTCCTAAGTGCAAGGATACAGTAGCATGTTTTCATTTGTAGCCTTCCTGTTCCCTTCAGTACCTACAGTATGTATATTACTATACTAAATGAAATAATAGATCATCTAACAAAGATCACTATGTGCAATACTGTATTTAGTGTTTCTATTTCAATTTTTTTAGAATGTTAATTTATATGAAAATAAAAGGAATAATAATGAAATACCTGCCTTCTCTCTTCACTGTCAGTCTGTGGTCTAGTTTGCTAGCAACTGTTGCTTCCCTAAGCACCACATCCCATTCAGGCTACTGTGATCAAGGAAAAAACATTGTGAAGGGATCAGTGGAAAAGGGGCTTCTCTTTCCTTGCCTACTGGAAGCAGGGACAGTAATTCCCAGTTATGTGGATATATTACCTTTTCCCCAGGTGGTGGTAGCGAGGAGCTTGAGAGCCCTTTACCAGATCAGACTGCATCACTCGCTGCTTTGGCTTGTGCACGTCTTCTAGTAGTGCATTTGGCTTGGGTTTGTAACCTGTTTCTACTAACACTGTCTCTATGACAGTCTCAAGAAATTGCCATTAGGGCAAAAACATGCATAAAGAAGTATTATCTGCATATGATAATGTCTTTATATACACACATCCATACATACACACACATGTATGTTTTATATCATTCAAGTGTTGTCCAGCAACCTGGTAGGACTGTCACATACATACATACTACCCTTTCCACCGGATCTGCAATGTGGATGCTAAAAGTTACTTGCAAACTTCTCTCTCTGAAGAACAGTGTCAAAGGCTGACTGCAGCTGGTGGTACCATGGTACGATCTTAAGATACAAGATGCTACGTAGATTTTCCTCTTTCATTTTACTCAGGCCCAACCTATTTGGTTGAACATGTCTCTCCCAGCTTCTCTCCAGCCTGTTTTCAAACTTCCATACAAACTGAAGTAGCCTGCTATGTGCAGCACCGAGGTTGACCCACAGCACTGCCAGCGTGGATTCCCAGCATAAGTTCCACCGCTGCTCTTTTTTTTTTTTTTCCAGAGGCACACTCAGCTTTTTACAAAATTCTGGACTAATGTTCTTTCCTTTGTTTGGCTGTATTTCAGGGAGGTCACACACCCCACCGGTGTCCCCTCCCCCCATTTACTGCAACATCAAGCATACTACACTCTGAGTTGGCTGTAGTCCTACAAGAGTTCTCACAGACAAAACTCTCAGCCTTTGTTGATCACCACCACCACACATCACTCACTGTTACTTCAACAAATGCAGCAGCTAAATAAGGACTTTCATACCTGAGCAGCAGATGTGACTTACTGAGAATAACAGTCTGGTTTTTTTATGAGGAGCTAAGAAGATTCATGTTGTTTTGCTTGCAAATTAAAGCCTTTTGGAAACATGGTACTTTGTCACGTCAAGACACAGTAGTGGTTAGCTTTTTTTGTAACACCTTTCATCATCCCAAAGCACTTCCAAAACTTGGTTAAATATTAACCAACACTGGCAGTGGGAATACAATTAATGACGTCTTCCATAGACTGATGTTTTTTCTTGCCTGCTTTTCAGTAATCTGCTTAAAAAGTTGGAAGCAGTTATTAATTTCATTGAGAGAACATATAGCAAGTCTTTGCATTGGAATTATTTTGTTTCATACTGTAGGTTAATAAGCAAAGCTGAGTTTGTGTCAAGTCCATTATATGATTTACTTAAGTTGCACCAACGTTAAGCTGCTATGGGCAGAATAAGTGAAAACTGCTGGAGCTGAGTTTTCCTGAGGATAGTGTGAACATGTCAGCAAAGGGCAGAGACATGGAGCCACGTCCCACACCGTTCAGGTCTGCCACCCATCAGTCGGATGGGATTCACGTTACAGAACAGGATTTCCAAGCCATTCTCTTGCTTACAACAGACCCACCTGTACATGTGCTGTACCTGATGTTCATCCAACCTACATGTAAAGGCACCTGATGGCAAGTCCATTGACTCAAAAAGATGGTCACTTTCTGAAGATAAAGGGTCTCAGCTGAGTCCGCACTCTTTGCTCATTTATTCCCAGCTGCAGTTCAAACTTAAACTCTTAGAAACTTCTTTGGTCACTCACCCCAAATGGGGCCCCTGCCAACACCGAAGTTCCATGGTGGTAGAGCTTAACATTTACTGTCCCCTTCCTTCCCCTGTCCCACACCACCACTCTAAGAAATACTGGTTCCATCTGACCTAAAGCTTCTTCTCTCTATCCTGAGACTTGCCCTGCTCTTGGATTGCTTCCACAAGAGGGAATTTTTTGGATTACAGACTACACCTCTGGTACAGTGGTTCAGCAGTTGGGCAGCATGAGGCTGGGAGAGCTGGAGTCTAGGCTGTCCCACGAACAGTAGAGGTTCAGGTGGGAGCTGGGCAACAAAGCTACCTGCAAAGCAGCTGAGAGACAGATGGAAAAGAGAGAGGGGTGTTGGAGGGGACAGGTGCCTGAGCTCCTTTTGAGCCAGTCGACAGAGGCACACGTGAGTTCTGAGCAGAGGGCCCTGACCACACTTGGGTAGGTAAAGCACAGCAAAACAGTAATTCTCAAAATCAACAGCTACTAACAACAACAACAACAACAAAAGTCCCCAAGCCCATTAAATTGCTGAACTGTGGGAGGATTTGGGAAAGAGATGGGGAAGGGAGCAAAAGGTTTCTTCAGCTGTAGGTTATAGTGCCATAAAGGACAGCACTTGCTATGGCTCCCTTGCTTACTTGTGGTCTAGGTGCTCCCGCTTCTTTCAAGACCCGTGACAGGCATCTCTTCTGGTCACTGGGAGGCTCATTCATCTGTGAGAACTCCCATTCCCCACTGAAGTTTTCCTTCAAGATTATTTTGCAACTACCATCTTTTCTCTAAGTTGGAAAGAAAAAAAAAAACAACAAACCCCAAAACACTACTACCTTTGGAGAGACATACAGCGTACTCATGCAAAAGCTGATAGCAATGATTAAGGCTCACCTATATCTTAGGATATGCTTCCCCGCCCCCCCCCCCCCCCCCCCCCCAACCTTGAGTAGTTTTGTGCCTGTTACATAAGGATCTAGCTATATTTTAAGCAAAACCACTTAGGTCAGGGTAATAGTTACTTCTCTTACCGCAAATGATGCCAGCAGTTCAGCCAGTGGTTGAGCTTTGGTTGTCTTCTTGTCAGTTAACCAAAAAAAACAGCATTTGTGCATGCAGAATCAACTTCAGAATCTAGGATTAGTGCAATTTATTTTTCCCTCTTGCCTTGCAGGTACTTTTGACAGGACTGGGGGACAAGGGAAGAAGCAGCTCGGTTTTCCCAAGCTGTCAGGGTGAGCCATCATTTACCTGTAACTGGCAGGGTCAGAAAGCAGCCAGAGAATATACTGATTAGAGAGCAGTTGGACACAAGGTGTTGAAGCAAAGCCCGTACACCTGGATGCCATATAACCCTAGAGTAGCTTTATTATTTAATCTATAATTTAATAGTAAACCTATAAAATAATTACATTATACTTAAAGCATTTCTTCATTTTTTGTTTTCATTTATAAAACAAGAATTAAATACAGTTTTAACCATTACAAGCTCAACTCAGTTTTTACATAAACACAGCTCCTAGAAGGAGCTTTAAGCTGCAGCATATTCATATTGCAAACTGGTGAAAAACCCAGGCAGGGCATAGCTTAAAGAAAAGATTCTTGCACATTTTTCTTAACTGAAGTTACTAGGGTGCTTTTCTCTCTCTCGTCCAAAACGCCTGGCTTTCAGTTCATTTCTTTCAAGTGAAGACTGAGATCCCCGGAGTCTTAGTGGACTACAGCTTCTGCCCCTGGCCCCCCGCCCCCCCTCCCCTCTCAAGCCTGGACCGAACGGTGCCCGTTCGGTGGCTGGCACGACGCTGGCAGCGCAGCAGCAGCAGCCTCTCCAGCAATGCCTGCGCGAGGAGCCTCCCTGTGCACTTCTGACACGCTGAAAGAGCACAGCAGAAAAGCCACGGCCGTTCACGTAATGGGGCTACCAGGCCTGGCCAACCTCATCCTGCCCGTGCCAATCCCCGTAAACCGCTTGGTGAGCTCTCGCGCGGAGCTCAGTCCCGAAAGCCTCTTAGAGCAGCCTGTCTCACCCAATAAAGACCTGTGGCACCGAACCCCTGGCCGGCAAGAGTGCTAAACACGTTAACCCCTGGAAGCAGCTGCATGTGAAGAGGCTGTCGGGAAAGGGCTCCCGCAGCAAGCGGGTTTCACTAGATGCAGATGCTGAGCTGCGAGACATGCATCAGGGAGTCGGCGTGTCATTCTTAATTTGTAAGCTTCAGACAATTGAGCACGCACGGGCTTTTGGTTTGGGGGAAGGGGCTGGTTTGTTTTGAGGCACAGGATTTTAATGCAGCTGGGACTAATACGGATCAGAACTGTAACAAATGGGATATACAGGACATGCTAAACTCCATCAACTGAATAACAACATAGTATGATTTCAAATGAACTGCATGCATTCACCAACGCTGATTATGTAGGACTCAAAAACTGAGTGGACCACCAGTACTGTAGCAATTACAAGTTACTCTCTCCCTGCTCCCTACAGCTGTGACCCATTCCAGCAGTACTGACTGATGGGTTTGTCCTTTAACACTAACACAGTAACATGGTTTCCAATCATGGGAGAGACACCACTCCCAAAACCTGATGACACTGATGTAGCTTTTGTATTCAGTCCAGCGATGACCAAATTTTGTCCTTTGCGCGACAGTGCTTTTATACCTTAAGGGAAACATAGCTCCCTTAAGTGTTCTCAGCTCCTCTCCCACTACCCTCCCACCTTCCCCGGTCTGAGCAGGCATCAATACAAGGTCACAGATGGATGTTGTCCTTTTTTGGAGTAAGAAACACACATGTATCTAACACACAAAAACCTACCAAAAGCCTAGTTAAACCATGTCCATTTTAAGCCAGGCAGCTGACCTAGCAACCGAGTCTCTTACTCAACATTATTTTAATCTCTGGCATATTCTTCCACAAGAAAAATATACATGGCTAGGTCTATAATACTTTAAACAGCTGTTTACTATAGCTAGGTTACAAAATAAACACTGCTGCAGAGACCACGTGTTCAATATACTCTAACCACAACAGCACCAGAACCCACCCTCCGTCTGCTCTGTGGTCGCGGCGGCTGACCCAGCGCCTCGCCCTCTTCCCCTCGTTTCTTATCAGCCATTCAGACAACAAGCCCCGAACCATCTGTCATTGCACAATTGAAGTTGTCTTAAGGAGATGAGCCTCATCGGAGAGCCTCACTTGCTTTTCGCACATTACTCCTCGTTCCTCTCCCCCATCTGCGCCCCCCGGTCCTGGGCAGCACCACAGCACTTCCAGGTGGGAGCAGCACGCTCCGGCCCCAAGCACGGGGGAGGCGTTCTCATCTTGTGGAGGGGACTGGAGTGTAGGGCAGAGGGCTTTACTCCACACAGTGGAAACATTTAATGCTGGATTCAGCCAACTGGTCGCTTAAGATGATCAATCCCAACTTCTGGGAGCCTGCTCCACTCCATAAGACTCAACCGCCAGACGGTATTGGAAATAAAATGAAACTTTATGGTGAAGTGCCTAACACAGCCCATTACAAAGCGTTATTCCAGCAGGCAAACGACAAGGAACCTTTCCTTGCTGGAGAGATGCCTCCTGAAAGAAAACAAAACACACACCAAAAAAAAAAAAAAAAAAAAAAAAAAAAAAGAAAAGAAACGAAGAAACAAACCAGCAAAATGGACAGTCTGCTCAGTGGGAGAGGAGACGCAGCAGTAAATCTGATGGGGGCAACACCAAGCCGTAGCTCCTTGCCCACTCTCACAGTTTGCCTGAGCTGTTAAGATTCACAGACATGCACCGGCACTGCTTGACCTTCTGAATTTTCTTGAGTCGGAAAGGTGGGTCCAGCTCAGGGCACTCCAGCTGCACGGTCGAAGAGGTGACCTTGTGCGGCTTGCAGAAAGCACAGGACTGGAAGGACTCCTCCTCCTTCTTCACGTGCCGCGGGATGTAGAAGGAGTTGCACTGCCCATAGCAGAAGCGGTTGATGATGGTGCGGCTGACGCAGCCCTCCTCGCTGACAGTCTGCCGCAGGGGCTGCGTCTTGCACCAGTCGCTCTTGAGGTACTTCCTCTCGGTGACCACGAGGGCCTCCTGGCTGGAGGCCAGCACCTCCTTGTTCAGCTGCTGCCTCCGCTCCGAGTGGTTGCTGCTGCTGTCTTTGTAAGGGGAGGGAATGGCGCCTGCGGGACGGTTTTTCCTGGTGTCTGTCACTTGGACCAGCGCTGCCATCAGGAAAACGGACAAGGCAAATCTCCGAATCATCCTGCAACAGCAACACAAGTAGCTGTTAGGAGAGACGCGTTTTCAGACCACGGAACTTTAATGGCGTTGAGCTTTACGCGTGCTTTTAGAAGAAGTGGAGATCTTACCGCCTTTGTAATCGCACCACTTTTCCTCTGAGATTAGCTTTACCCTAGGGTGATTATTTAGCACGAAGAAGCCAGACCCTGTGGAAAGCCACATCGCTCCCCACCAGCCCCTACCCCCACTAAGCTCTTCAACTATTCCTTTTCCCCCCACAGGGACGCTGCTGCTTTGACCGCTGAAGCAGTGATTTTACCGACGCTTCAGCCAGAAAGGTTTCCTCCTTCTCTAGGAAATCCCAGTCCAAACAGCTGGGCAAGCTCCTGGCTAGCAAAGGCTCAGGAGACTCCTGCCAATACTGTCACAGCTGATTTGGGGGCAGGGGCAGGGAATACCAGGTTACACAAGGTGAACGCCCGCCTGCCTCTCCAGCCCCCGAATCCTTGCCCAGCCTCGTTCCACACAGAAGTAGCGAGAGGTGTCCAAAAGCATATTTTTATTGTTTTAAATTGCTTCTGAAGTTTCTTGGGGCTGTTATGGAACTTACAGGCTTGCATTTGTTGTCTTTGTGGGAGGCCGAAAACTTGATGGATTTATTCTTGCAGTAAGAGGAAATGCTTAAACACAGTTTTGAGGACTTCATTACTACAACGCCTCTTAGGCAAATGGTTTAAGAAGGTTTGTAAACAGGAGAAATTTCAAAATTTATTTTAGATGTTAAGGAAGAGGGGAGAGCATAAGCCAGTTGCTAGGTTAAAAGAGTCAGCCAGTTGGCAAAAACATTTTTTCCTATGGTTGTCTATTAGGGTTTCTTGTTCTGTGGAGCATCTCTTACCAGCTCTTGGATTTTAATCAACCACTTGTCCAATTCATTTTAGTGATGTGTCTCAATGCACTTCCAGGATATCAGAATAGACGTACTAAATTTCCTCATAAAGTCAATGCTCATCCATGAACTGCCACAACTCATTTGACAGTTCATGTCACATCATTCTCCCTGGGAAGGGAGAACAGAAGGTCTCTAGGGTGTCAAAAGTGTGTCAAGCCCAGAAGCTTCCCCTTCAGAGGCAAGGACACTTCAAGTGTTTCTAAAAGTGCTCTGCTCACCTTTGTGGACTATATTTTTATAATAGCGTACAGAAGAAACGCTCATCCCTTTCTTCCCAGTAAAGCTTCAAACCCTTCCAAGTAATTATTTTTTTTTTCCTTTACGGTGATGCCATTACAAAAAATACCATCATACCAGTAAATATAGATATGTCTAATACTACAGACATTTGAGAAGTTGCATAGGTATCTTAACGTGAAAACACGCCATTCTCCACACACCAACAGATCAAAAAACTGTTTGCAGCAAAGGTGCAAGAGAAGACGACAAGAGCACTAACAAACACTTCTCACCTAACAAAGCAGACCTAACGTATTTAACCCCTACGGAGATAAAGAGAAGGAACCTGTGTAGCAGACTAAGCAAGATAACATCCCTTTAGGTGATTTTCTAAGTTTATGAGATCTCAGTGTCAAGACTTTGATCAAATTTCTAAGGGGAGAGGTTTGAAGTGTTGAGGGAAAGTGCTAATCCTATAGTTGTGAATGGAGGACGTTCTGATGCAGAGTTAAATTTCACCAGACTGTGCGCCTGAAACAGAACCATCTTTAAATGGAAACCAGTAATTCTAAAGCCCAAATAAGCTCATTCATCTCTAACCATGCCAGCTGCCCACTGACACCCATTGTAGTCATGGGTACTTTAAGTCAGTGGCCTATTTTCACACTGCTTAGCATTCAGCACACAAGTCCAGATGTTTTGTCCAGAGTCTTTAAATGAAGCAAGACTAGACTTGGCTTTGCTCGCAGGTATTGTCGCCAAGACCATTGGATGTCAACCCACACAGCCAGGCCAAAACCTAATCAGGTAATTAGTTTCAGTTGAATATAGTGTTCCATGCTTCCTTTCAAACTGTTCTCATGTTATTCTGCACTGATGGCTGCATTTCAGTAGTGGATAAAATAACTGATCCCCACTGCTTTGTGTTTTACATAGAAAGGGGAGGAAAAAACCCAGGAGTTACAAGTCTACATCTTCTAGAAAAAGACAGAGGGGAGCTCTCCACAAGATGCCTTATGACAACACTCCTCAGGAGTACTCTTCCACTCTCCCCTTGAAATGCAGGCCCACAAAGCAATTGTGATAACTACTGTCCTTCATGGAGGGAGTTTGGCCCTTTTCATTAGGGGTATCGCCTCGCCAGTCTCACTCCTCTGATCCTGCAGGGGATGAGGATGGTACAGGCCCAGAGGCACATCAGGAGAAGAGATGCACTCTTTCCCCTGCTCCTTCGTCTTTCCTTTGGGAAACCCTGACTTGCCACACCCACCTTTTCTCATCACAAAACGTAACTTGAAACCATTTCCCTTTCGTGTCAAGGAGGGGGTCAAGTAGAAATCCTACGTAGGAATTAAGGAAAGCTGACAGAGGGCTAACAACTTAAAATCTACAATATAGAGAAACATTATAGTAGCTTTCTAATTACTGAAATAGTTTTATGTAGGCATGGAGAGCCCTTCAACAGAGTAAGTAGGATTTATCCAGTAAGTCTACGTTCATAACTAATAAAGCATTATTAATCAAAGCCACTATTGTAAACCGAATGCTGCAATACATGTTAGCAAGTACTTCTACAGACAGGTAGGAATGCACCACCTATTTCTGTCATTGATCCTTATCAAACCTGTACCTTACAATGTTTACATAATAGAATAATAATCTATTTTACACTTGCAGGTCAAACGTGCATCCTGTCAGGTTGTGGAATTTCTAATCACAGGGTTGCCCCTTACTAGCCTGCAAATCACCCCTTTCTAAGCCCTGGTACACAAACCCCCTATTCAAGCAAGTAAGGGTGCAAACAAGGTCACCTGGTACCAGGAACATGCCAAGGAATACATGTATTTTCGGTGCTCACATGCAAAGAGAAGAGAAACCTCAGTGTTCTCAGAGAAACAGAACATTTTGGTAAAGTCGGTGTGAATGCAAAGCAACATGGTGAATGCTGCCTGTCTGCAGACAGAGTGGGATGAGAAGAAACACAAAACGTACTGGAGGAGAACTTGGCTTCTGGCAAGAACAGGGCAGTTCTGTCCTACTTAGATGTCACAGAATTGAACAGCATGTGGCTGAGACCAGGCAAGCGAGAACTGCCTCAAGAGACCAACGCCTCTAAAACTTGCACAAATGCCGGGCTGGGCGCAGTGTTCCCATGGCACTGGGGGGCTCCCCACGGCACAGCTGGCAGAAGCTCCCGTGTGACAGTTTTCAGCTTCTCCAACCATCATTGCCAGCTGCTGCCAGCTCCTCCCACCCCTTTTTTCCAGCGTGCTAGCCGATGCAGAAAACAACTTAAGCTTAGACTACACACCGAATAAGGCCTAGCTGCATTAACATTTCACATGCTAAGTTTTTCTCCCTTCGAGATAAGGAAATCACCATCAAGTATGAGTTCATAAACTCATCAAACCCGTCATGCTGCAGCTGGGCTATCAGGTATCCAGGAGTGTGAAAAATCTTGGCCTAGGAGGCAAGAACACCAAGATCCAGCTCTGTAATCCGGAGAGGTCAGGGCACTCAGCTAGGAAGGGAAGACCCAGGATCACTGTGTCTACCCTTAGCTTTATTTCTTGTTTGTATCCAATTACTGTGTAACATAAAATATCTACCAAGGCAGGCTCCCTCTTGCATACTGACCTTCTGGCCCTATAACTCATGCATTCTTGAAAGCAATCCAGCTCCGGGAGCAGGACAGGCAGCAGTGTAATCCCCAAAATAGCCTATAGTTTTGCAGTTAGGGAACTTCTCTGGGAATTGGAGTCTCAGATTTGACCTCAGAATTCAAGTGCATCGCTTTTGGAGAAGTCCCCCAATGCCGAAGTGGGTGCTACGGTCTGAAAGACAGGGCAGGAGGTAACGGCAGCGCCCATCTGTGCTGAGCGACTGCTCCACCGTTTCTTCTGGTTTTCAAAGGCGTAACTCCAGTTTCTAAGCTAAGGATGCAGTTTCTGACTAGGAATTCCCATTTTGTAGATCAGCCCACTTCAGGGTTACAGGTGGACCGAAAGAGAGAGGGATGTAACTGGAAGATTACCGTGGTATTTTATGTTAGCTGCTCAGGAAATCAGCAGGTGTGAGACTCATTTGTTTGCTTTAGCATGCAACACCTACAAGGCACTCGGCATTATTGGCATTCCTCGAAGCATCCAACTCTCTGACACAGATATGTCACACAATCATCTCCTCTTCACCAGGCCGTCCTGGGAGGGGTTCAGGAAAAAAGCCACAGCCAGTGATTTAAAAAAAAAAAAAAAAAATTTGCAAAACCTGTCTTACCATGGAACTTGAGAGCCTACCTGTTTAGCTTAGTTACAGGATGGATTCAGCCTGTAAATACATGCGGAAGATTTAGTACTGTAAACCTATCCTACATCCATCAAAAGCACTGTAAGAGCCAATGACTGGTAAGATTATCATCTTATTCAGAGGTACTTTACTTCTTGAAAATTTTGAATTCAAATAACAGCTGAAGAGGTTTTGCCTTGGAAAACAGTTTCTCTTCAACTACCAGCAAAAGGCAGGAATCACAGGCTAGGTTAAATCAGGCATGGTTCTGTCGCACAGTACATACACAGTCACATTTCATCACCTGCATCACTCTTACAGTTTCTATCCTGCCAATTTCAGAGACACAAGAGCTCTCCCCTTTGGGATCAGCTATTCAGCTGACTGTGGGAATCCCTGCTACCAAAACTTTTCTACTCCCCACTTACTTTCATATCAGACCTAGTCAAAAAAGAATCTGCATAAAACAGCTGTATGTACATTAATGTAAGAACATGGTGTACATGGTTAGTTCTCAGCATTTAAGATGGGACACAAGAAGTGTTCCTTGAAGACAAGCCAGGCAA